AATGACAGCTTTGAGAAAGAGCCTCAATATAAAAGAAAAAAAATATGATTCTAAGGGCTGCTTTTACATTCCCAACCCAAACTTTTCTCATATGCAAACATTAACTATTTATAAGAATATAATCCATGTGATATTTGGCACCCTGAAATAGCAAAAAAAGTATGGAATTATTTGCTTAAGCCAATTTGCCCAAAATGCTCTAAAGATCATCTTCATCGTACACTTTTAAAGTAGTAAAATCAGCAATGGAGACATCAGAACAGACTTCATTTTATTATATATCCAAAAACTGGAATAATCTCCTGTGGGATATATTATTTAAAGATGCTATATTAACACAAAAAAATGCATTCCCTTTGAACTTTAAGTAGCACAAAAATACAGCAAACTTCATCTCAATAAAATACTTAGTAGCTTTATTCAATTTTATCTGAGTTGCATCTAAAGCATTTGATTCAACATAGTAGATATCCATTTAAACTATCAATGCACATTGAAATCTAAACTTAAATCCATTTCTCAGCATTTCCAACATAGGTCACCTTTAAACCCCTAACAGCTTGGTTTTAGTTTTTTTGTTGTCGTTGTTGTTGTTTTTTTAATTTTCCTGTCAGCAATAATTAGCAACCTCACATTCTTAAAATTATGAATATCTCAACTTGCAACAAGAGCCATATGTAAACAGGCAGTGAGATAATTAAAAAGAGGTTAATTCCTCCCACTGCAGTAGTCTACATTAATGGAAAAAAAGATAAGAATAATCTTAATAGTTGGTCAGACCTTCTTGAAGAAGTCCAAAACCAAAGCAGGCTTATCTAAATCCTCTTGGCAGAGCTATCTGTAAAGTCAGAAAAGTGCAGAGGGGTGCTTAAATATGCCTGAAAAGCAGCTCTTATAAATAAAGCAGCAGCACAAAGGTTCTTCTGATAGTCCTTCATTTTAATATTCTTTCAAATAATACTTAAAAGAAGCATAATTTAAGCAAAATAATTTTATGATGTTATTAGGTGTGCCACAATGAGGATAATGAAATGCCCAAGCTAACCTACTCAACAAAAAGCATTCTTTGTGTGCCTCATTTCTGTTCTTGTTGGCTGGGAAAGAGTAATAAAGTTAGCAGAAAAGAACTGTGTCCCTGTTGTGCGATTGGTGTCACTGAAAAACCAAGGTTGACAGGCTGTGGATTATGACGAGCTCTCTGCCAGCGAGCCCTCGCAGTTGATCTGCCTCGGCGCCTGCCCCCCATCTCTGTCCACCTCATCCTCTTCATCTGATCTGGGAAGACTCGCATCTCTCCGGTGCACAGGAGGGCTGTAGGGGTCAGTACACATACAGACACATTAGAACACGATTTCTTTTATAGTCCCATAAAAAAAGCAAACACATGTAAAAAAAAAAAAAAAAGAAAAGAAAAAAAAACAGCTTTTAAGATACAAAACTCTTGGCTGACTCTTTCCAGTCAATAAACCCTTAAATGTGCAAGACATGCATGCACTACATTAGCATGGTTTCCCTCTTTTTGCATCACAGAGATTCTAGCTCTGTGGACACCAATAAAAAAAAATTGATGAATCATTAAAAGAAATTTCTTATTGAGCTAAATACTTAAAAATTACATGCAGAAGTATTGTAATGGCACCGTGTCCAGATATTAGTAAATATGCGCTGTTAGTAGGTTAAATGTAGAAGAGATTAAATCAGAACCAACACAGCATTCAGTGAGCTTGTGCCTTGCTTCTGCCTCTACTCATTAAAAAGGTTATTTACCTGGAGCCATTCTTAGAATCCATTGTCATGACAACTCATTACATAAGAATCACTGCACTAGTTTGATAGCAGCTTAGCTTACTGCAGAGATTCCAGTATATGAATACTTCCATTAAGATACAATTTAATGAGAACAAGGAAAAACCACTGAAACAGGCTCTTTAACACGAACATAGTATCTTTCTGATTAAACACACACGAGTGTCCTTGAGTATTAGACATCTGCTTGAAGTACACTGCACTGCATGTTCAACATACAAAATTCTACATTTCATCCATGCACTGTGTCAGTACATAAGGCAAGTACACTAAAATTTAAAAAATACTTTTTAATTTAATTTGATAAAATGGGTGCTTGCAAATTAACATATTTATAATTTAATTACCTTCTAGCTATATCCATGAAAACAGTAATATATAACCAGATTGCTTTAAGCCACCTGTGTAACTAGCTTCCAGAGCAGCAAGATGTATCAAAACAAGCAATACAAATTAAAATCAAAATGTCCTAATAATTACTTTCAAGTAGGTTTACTTTAATGAAGTGTGAAATGAATATTTGACCATTTTGCAATAGCAAAAGCAACAGCACACAGAGAGCTGTATTTTAAGGCTAAATTGTTAACACAGACAGAAAACTGGCCTTTATTAGTTCGCTGGCATAAGTACGAAAAGAACAAGAGATGCTATCAGGAACTCAAAATAGATAGCTTTTGAGGCAGAGCTAATTTTAGAATATATTACACATGTTTACATCAAATAATATCAACAGTCACATCACACCTGAACTCTTCACAGATAACATGCAAAAAGAAAAATAGATGTAATTAAATTTTTTCCCCGTTATTGCCAGCATCTGTTTATCGGTTTGTGCTAGAGGAACAGTCACAGGCAGACACTCTTCTCTTAATACTATGCGTGCAAAACACCATCTCAAACACCATTAGGAAAAACACTCAGATTTGCTTTTTTTTTAAAAAATAAAAAACACACAAGAATGTAACACTGCTTTATATCGGTACTATTTCAGGACAAATATTTCAGTGTGCTGCCTGTGATGCCTTGGAGCGGGACAAATAAAAGCTAAAAAAAATCTGATGAATTGCAGTGATGGATTACTTTAAACCTAAATATAAACTGTTGTTTCTAATGGAATTTAAAAATAAAACTCAAGGAGTTTGTGTAATGCAAACCAGAGGCATCACTACAGTGCATGGAAAAATGTGAAGCTTAAATTAAGACAAATGTCAGTACAAGCAAAGGAAAAACGGTGGTAGGCATCAATAGGCCTGTGTCATGTTTGTCAAAAACACTGGTAGTCGTACAAATCAGCATTTGTTCTTCACACGGACCATTTAGTCAAAATGATGAATAAAAACCAAACTAAAAACAAAGAAACTGTCACACATAGCAAACGTTAGTATTTTAAGTCAGACGACCAAACTTTATGGCAGGCTCGGGGTTATCACCACACCAAGTATCACCTTCTTTCGGTATCAGTCACTGTCATGCCTGTACAGGTACTTCATCACCAAGCTGTCCATTTTCTTCTGCTTCTTCTTTGTTTCCTTCTTGCTAGATTTTCCATGACCTGTGAGTTCCTTCTCGTCGTCATCAGATTCTTGTTTAGGGCACTTTTTAATACTACTGGAGCTGCGGTAGGAGATGGCTGAGTTGGAGGACGAAGACTCTGAAGAGGAAGAAGAGTCTTCTGATTCGCTTTTTTTCTTAGAGCTCTTCTTGGACTTCTTCTTGCCCTTTTTCAACTTTGAGCTCTTTCTGCTGTGATGGTCATCTGACGATGAGGAGCTCTCAGATGATGAAACTTTA